GAGAGAGAGAGAGAGAGAGAGAGAGAGAGAGAGAGAGAGAGAGAGAGAGAGAGAGAGAGAGAGAGATTAGCATGGCACACAGAGACACACACACGCACACACGCAGAGAGAGGGGGGGGGGGGAGGAGTGAGAGCATAATTACACTACCACCATGCTAAATGTATCTAACCGCAATTATTTGACAAGACATGGATTTATCTGACCGTAATTAAACTCCCCTCTCAGCAAGTATCATAAAACGGCCAACCATGTACCTGGTCCAACAAACTCTTATCTTGTCTGTCCCCCACCCTAGGACAGAAGAGGCTCAATCAAAACCGAAAACCATCGTCCACAAGACGAACAAACCCCAAGCGAAAAAAAGACAAAACAAAAAAAACAAGAGTTCTCTTTCTCCACACACACGCCACAGCGGCCGAGAAGCTCAGATAAGAGGAGGGCTGCTCTCAGAGTCATCCCATCTGCCATTGTAGAACCTCAGAGCAACCATCATGCCATTATCTGAGAGCGAAACAGGGTGATCGAAAGGCCCAAGCACGAAATACCCTCATTTTTTATTTTTTATTTTTTTTTTATAGCAAAGGATTGATTATATGGGAAAGGACCCGCATCAAGGGAGCAGGGACTGCACCAAATCATATAGCAGAATCAAACAGACCGGGGTTGATGAGCAATACAGGATGCCCCGACTAAGCAGCCGCTCTCAGCCACTACCGTCTTTACCCGAATACAACGCCCGGTCTTTTTTTTTCTTTTTTTTTTTTGGCGCTGTACCTAGACTGAAAGTTGCACCAAATACGGCTATAATGACTGGGCGTTCTATTTGGGTGTAGACGGTAGCAGCAGATCGTCAGACGGAAATTTAAGAAGGATGGGAGATGATCAGACGGTACAAAACAAGATAATCTGATGTGCAAGCTTTCTAAAATAGTCTAGTCCCCCCCTCTCAGCAGTGGAGAACTTTCTTAATCGGGCATCCTAATTTAGCAGCCAGGTTATTTGTGAGGAACAGAAGGGGAGCTCTTTATTCTTCTCTCTTCTCTTTTTTTTTTTTTTTTTTTTTCCCCCAGTTAAGTAGTCATACTGTTTGTCTCCTGACCGCCGGTCTTGTCTTCAGCACATAGCCCTAAAGGGGTCTAAATACACACGGCCAGCACGGCGAACCGTCTCACCAGCCACCGGCCTTAAATGGACCATGGGCTTGAGATAGGCAAATTAGGTTTAGTTATTTGACACACCATGAATTTGGTTAAGGATTCGAGGATCATTCATTCATTGCAGTGTGTGGATGGATTCAAAAAATTAATGAAATATGGTGAGATAATGAGATTTCATGTGTGTGATTCAACGAACCCCATCTTTTTTGACTGATGGCTGTATTCCCAATTTATGGAGCTTTTTTTTTTTTTTTTTTTTTTTTTTTTTGGAGAAACATAGCACTTTTCATTCCAAATGAGATAATGAGATATGAATTTTTTTTTTTCTGTTGTGGTGAACAGATCGGTGCGCCTCTTGAGATGATCGGTCGAATGGCAGAAAAGCTTATGTTGAAGAAACTTACTCGAATAGGTAAGTCGGACGGAGAAAAGCATCATCATCGCCACACAACGCACCTACCGGCAGATGGGAACGAGCCTAAATCGACGGACCTGGACCCCTAATCCAAGCATGGAGCATATTTGAGTGTTAAACCACTAGTACTTGCCCCAAAGGACAACATTTCTTCTTCGTGTTTGTGGTGTGTGTTGTATGCTCGACGGATGGGACTAAGCAGGGCGCTAGCTACACTGCGGAGGCCTCTGCTTTTTTCTACCCCTTCTTTATTTTTGGGGATGGCTAATGTGGACCTGCACACTAGGCCCATCCTGACCACCACACCCAGACGGTGTCGTGACCAGATAAACACATTGAGATGTAATTAGGACCAGGAGGTTCCAAAAATGTATATATTTTTAATTTTTTGTTTTCTTGGTTTTTTGTTTTTGTTTCTGTTTTTTAATTTTTTGTTTTCTTGTTTTTTTTTTTAAATTCCCTTCCATCCAAGTTGTGAATTTTGAAATGACCGTTGACCATAACTTGTCTGTATTACAATGTACAATGCTGAAGAACTTCAATAAAACTCCGACGAAACAGTTTGTCACAGCCCCTCGTTTGTTGTCCTCTTCTCTCTCTCTGCCTACGGTTTTACCGGGCAGTTCTGTTTG